GGGGGGGGGAGGAGGCCGCACAGAACAGGGAGGCTGGACAGACCACGCGACGGTTGAATAAACTGTCGACACGCGTGTCTTGTTTTTGTTAATTAAGTAAAAGTTTTACGGCGCTCGCAACTGCATAAGGTCATATAAGTGCCGAAGATTAGAGGTGTTACAAGAGAGTAACATACACAAAAAAAGAAGGGGAGATAAAGACGATGTGGAAAACGGGCAAGGGTAAAAATGGGAAGTGGCCGTTTGTACAGGTGATTGTCGTATACAGATGGTCGTTTTTACAGGGGAATGTCGTATACAGGTGGTCGTTTTTACAGGGGATTGTCTTATACATGTGGTCGTTTTTACAGGTGATTGTCTTATACAGGTGGTCGTTTTTACAGGTGATTGTCTTATACAGGGGAGATAAGGACAATAGATGTTTGATAGCAAAGAAGCAGCAAACCACACCAGAGCACCCGCCAACCACCCTGTGAGAAAAGAGATCTTTATAGTCCGTGACAGCGTCAACACAATGATGAACGTCGCTGTTCTGTAAAGAACGGTGAGAGGGTGGTTGGCGGGTGCTCTGGTGTGGTTTGCTCCTTCATTCCTATCCAACATCTATCATCCTTATCTCCGCCCCTTCTTATTTTGTGTCTGTTACTCTCTTGTAACACCTCTAATCTTCGGCACGTGTATGACCTGTTGTGTTGCAAGTGCCGTAAAACTCTTACCAAAACTTTTTTTAAAAGAGCGGTGCACCATTTGTGTTTTGTCTGTGTTCTGTGGCAGGGGCTAGAACTAATCCAGTTGCCCCTCGGGGAGGGGGGTGTCCCGGGCGGGGGTGGGGGGGGAGCGGACACCATGAGGGTACTACTACCTACCTACCTGCACTCTACGGTACTACTACATCGGTGGTCGAAGCAAACAGGGCAGGATAGCCGACCTACAAGTTAAAGTACATTTATAAATAAGTTTTGGTTCTTCCGGTGGGAAGGAGAGGTCAAAAAACGTTGGAGAGTAGCCGGAAAAAACTTTGCGTCTTCCGCTTGTCTCTCTGGCTTTTTAAAAACTGTTTGTATTAGAGAACGGAGAAGCGTTTTGACGTTGGGGCAGTCATTTAGTGCAAGTAAAAAGAGAGACAGACTGACAGAAACAGCGGAGGGAAAGAAAAGAAGTAGGACCTACCAGTGGCGCCTTCCAATCACTCACTCAGACAGGAACAAAAAGATAGAAACACAAGAAGTATGAGCTACCAAGAGTATCCTCTAACCACCCACGCAGACAGAGACAACAGAGGGAAAGAGAAAAATCAGGACCAACCAGTAACACCTTCCAACAACCCACATTTTGTTTCATTAGAAACATTGCAACACTGGGAAAACCTTTGTCAGAAACAGTCAAATAATTGCGTAATTTCTAGAGAGAGAGAGAGCGCGAAAGACAGAAAGAGAAAGAGAGAGA